ATATCAGATTTTTTTGTATTAGGAAGTAATGTACCGATTCTGGTGTTGTTCGGAATGGCGGCTTTCATTTAAATTTTAATTAATGTTCATAATTGATATTTTATGGCAATAAATGCACGTATGTACAGATATTACGTACATATTTCTAAATTTAACGTAATACAATAAATTATTGTAATTAATTATGCTTTGTTAATCTTGTACTACGGTTACAGTTACGTGCCTGTTGCATATTTACTATTGTAGTTATGTTTAATTCGCTGCATATATATACGCCATTATAGAAAATGTCACTTTTCTTCTCGTAACTCTTGGACTCTTTGAAACAAATCAACAAAATGGGCATAACAGACTTGTTTAATAAATCACCACAGCCAGAGACTTATGATAAAAAGGTGTGACGAAAGGAATGTTAAATTTTTTGAATTATATAAAGCATTCCTTTATTTTACTATTTTTTTTCGCTTAAAACTTTTAAGAAATATTACAAGATTGGGAGAACTTTAGGTAAAATAATATATTGAATTTTTCAACCCATTTAAATATATTATTTAGTTCATATGAATTAATGAATTGATATTTAGGTTCTGGAACTTATGGTTCAGTTAAAGAGGCTGTCAAAACAACTACGGGTCAACAATGTGCAATTAAAATAATTGATAAGAAAAAAGTACGACATCAAGAATCAATGGTTGAAAAAGAAATGAGTATATTAAGTGGATTAGATCACCCGAATATAGTAAAATTTTATGATTGGTTTGAATCAAGAGATAGATATTACTTGGTATTTGAACTGTATCCTTTATTTTATTTTTTTTATCTTGATATTATCACTTCTTTAGTTTTGACCACAAAATCATGTTTATTTTTATTCATGATAGTGTGAAATTAAATTTGGCATCAAATTAACCTTTGAATTAAAATTCCAATCCGGTTAGCGTTTATCCGGATAATTATCAGATATCCAGATCTGAATTTATTTCAGATATCTATTTACTATCCATTTACTATTGATATCCGGATAGTTATCCAAATAAATCAGATATGGATAAACGGCGTCTAATTTTTGAGAATTTTCCTTAACTTATTATAATTAATTCTAAAGTGCGACGGGAGGTGAGTTGTTTGACAGATTGGTCGAGCGCGGTAAATTCACAGAGGCTGATGCGGTTGGAGTTATCAGGACTGTACTTGATGCAGTTAAATACCTTCATGAGCATCATATTGTACACAGAGGTAATTTTTTATACTTTATTCATCTTTTAATTTGTAAATATATTTTAATTGCATTTATTTTGTTCGAATTAGATTTAAAACCTGAAAATTTAATATATAAAAGTAAAAGTGAGGATTCACCTCTTGTTCTTGCAGATTTTGGGTAGAGTATTTTATTTACTTGATATTTTTATACAAAAACATATTGAGAACTCAATAGTTAATATTTATTATTGTTTATTTTATACATATTCTTTATATTAGTATTTCTAGAGTAATATCAGATGATAATGATCTTATGACAACACATTGTGGATCACAAGGATACGTAGGTTAGCAAGTCATATCTAATCCTTTTTTATATAGTGATTAAGGCAATAAATTATGAATTTTTATTTAGCACCAGAAATTCTTAAGAGAACTGCATACACTAAAGCTGTAGATCTGTGGAGCATTGGGTAATTGGATATTTTGTTCATATTATTTCTATAATCTTTTTCGCTATTTCAAATATTAACCTTTAATTCTTTTTTAAAAAAAATAAAAAATGGTTAGTGTAATCACATATTATCTGTAAGTGGCTTCAGTGACATTATTAGGTTAAATTTGTTCTTTATCTAATCTGATACCTATATTCTTAGACTTTGTGGTTATCTCCCATTCCGTTCGGAGGATCGTTATGCTTTCTATGATGAAGTTACTAATGCTCGTGTAAGATTCGAACCACGATTTTGGAGGAACGTATCCGAAGATGGTATGAATTTATATTTTTATGTTGTTATAAATTATATTATTAAAAATAATATATATTAAAAAATATATATAATCTATATAATTGATTTTTTTCAACACAGCCAAAGATTTTATTCGCTGTCTTCTTACTTTAGATCCTGAAAAACGTCCATCAGCGAAAGAAGCCTTACAACATAAATGGATGAGTGGTGAGAATGCGATGGATGTAGATTTATTAGAAAATTTCGATGCTCGTAAAGCCTTTCGCAAGGCTATTGGTGCTGTACAGGCTGCAGCTCGAATTCGACGTGAAACGTTTAAAGATCATTCCTCTAATGATAACTCAAATCCAAATCCTGATGCTGATGAAAAAAATATATCAAATACAGTTGAAGAACATAGTGATGATTGATCATATGTTTCTCATTAACGACTTATTCTCATTTATATTTATTTTTTAGTCTTAAACTTGATAATTTTATTCTATGCACTTTTTATTTATTCCTACACTTGTATTTTATTCGTTTATCATTAAATACTTATTTATCGAGAATAATAGACAATTTTTTATATGAGAACGAATAAATGTTTTAAATAATGAATCATTATAGATGACGCTAAATGATCGAGCTAAGTGTAAGCCGGTTATTTCACGTAGAAGTTTAGTATTGAGAATGAATTTATTTAATACATTTTATTTTAATAATGATAGGTAGCAATATATCTATCCGGTCCGATAATATCTTGTTTCTGGTGCCATCAATATTATAAACAGGCTGCATAGTCGTTAAAAGTGCGACTCCATCCTCAGAATAATATCAGCAAAAATTTTAAAACTAATTATGATCGATTAAAATCTGTGATTTTAAACGATTCTCATCATCACAGCCGATTAAGGGTGTTCTCAAGCACCAAATTTTAATCAGTGGAAAATTATTTAAGCAGTCAAGTGAGTTCATTATAACGATGAAAAAAAAGATGATCGAAAAACATATTAAAAGACGTATTTTGATTCGCGTAAACCTTTTTTCTTTCATCATAAAGTTGTGCTGATGGCTAAAATTAATATCCACATTTTACAATATAAGTCTTCAGCAAAATTGCTGTAAGGATTACTTCAATTAACCATAGTACGTACATACTCGTACACGATTAATTAATCACATTGAGGGAGATGCTTGCCCTAAATGAGATGACGATTTTATCGACTATGATTCATAAGAATAAAAATCAATCGTATATTAAAATTTGATTTAAATCGATAGTAAACATAACTAGCAATAATAATCACTTGAAATTGTTTGTGATGCTGTCATCGAGGTTTTATTAAATTTACTGGGCTCAAACCCGGTAAGCAATAAGCTTGAAATCCGGTTTTCCTTCAATGGTATCCAAATAGTTTAGTCTTTAATAGTTTAAGTTATGATTAGTCTGTATATTCAATAACTAATCTCAAGAACTTTTTTTTTGCACCAATAAATGTTTACAAATTGCACTATCTGTCTTGTATTCTAAATTTAAATAAGTTTATAAAAGTTACACATTTCTCACAAAATGTCATTATTTTGTAGTAATATTAGTAATATTTTTTTAACTCTCAGGTCTGAAGTATAACTGATAAGATATACGTATGGTATCCAGAAAATGGGTACGTACCAGGTGGTACGCTATAGTGACTTGATAATATGACGATAAAAATGAAAAACGAATCGGTCCTTAGTAAAAAATAAAAATTCGTTTTAGTGGGTATAGGTTAACGTGACAATTCGAAATTTTTTATATAATTAACATAGCATTATTATTCACATTACCTGTTCCACTTCAAAAAATTAGTTTCTCTTTATCTATTTTCTTATCAAATAGAAATGGATTAAATTAGGACAAGAATTAGGGTTCCAAGCTTCACCCGATCTTGAATGGGCAATACCTTCTATTAAATCGCTTTTTTTCGGGTGTTCATTATATCTTTTTTGGCACTCCTTTTGGTGGGCCACGTTTATTACGCGGCGTAATAATAAATTCACACTTTAATTTATTCTGTTTACAACATAAATAGAAAGATGGCTCAGAGCATTTCGATCGTCTTCTGCAGCAACAATTGCATGCAATTGTTACCTTCTGTTTAATGATTGGCAATGTTTTTTTTTCATGATTACGTATTAAAAAAAGAATGAATAGTATAATACAATGTTGTTAATTTTGGCTTCCAGTGGGAATTTCTGGCCTTCCAGTGAGATTTTGTAATAGTAAAAATCCAATGATACTATTAATTTTGCATCCAGTGGTCTTCCAGCGGTCATCCAGTGACAACACTGATTTAAAATATAAGGATTCTGATGTAAGAGGCCTCCGGATAAACATCAACACGAAAGTTTTAAACGAAATAGATCATTTTTATCTTTTATTAAATTATTCTCAGTACAACAACTGCAAGAGAACCAAAATAAAGGAAATATATATCATCGAGTTACAATAAAAATTTGATTCGTTATTTTTTTCATCATCAATCGCAATGTCTATTACTGGATTATAATAATCAAAATCATGTGAGATGGACTACGAAAATCAATTTAAAAACTGATTTGGCTTTTACTAGATTCGATTACTATAAAATTTTTTTGTGCTCCCAACTCTACTGGCATTTTTTTAAAGAAATGCAAAAGTGGGATAAAGAATCACGCAATAGAATTTATACTGGAACACTTTTATCCGGTTTATATTCATTCGTTATCTTATTTTTTTTCCTAATTTAATATTTGAAAATTTATTAAACATGTAATTTGTGCTTTTATTCTCAAATTTTTTAAGTCAGCGCTGGTGCAACTTGCGGTGGATTGGTTGCTTTTTTTTATAACCGATCTTTCTTTCGTTATACAATTGCTACAGGAATTAATTGTGGAATCTTTGGTCTTTCATTTTTTAGTAGGTTTAAGCTTTATCTATTTATACTTGGCGTGAAAAATTATGCATTTATTTTCTTTTTTCTATAAAGGCATTCGAGAATTATGTTTAGCGCATCAATAAAAAAATAAACTAAGAAATTATAATATACGAAGTACAAATGAGCTCATCAGTAGTATTATTGCTGGTGGTTTGACTGGTGGTTTGTTTTCAACAATCATCTGTGAGTAGTTTTTGAAATTTGTCTCCATGTAAACGTTTTAGGAACTTGTGCATCAAAGTTTAGCTCCTTATGAGCTTCATTGTATTCATTCAAGATGGTCGACAAGGTCTTCTCCCTAGAATTTTTCTTTTCTCTCTTATAAGTGGCGTGGGACACGTTTGTTATACTAGTGTTTATAATTACAGGCAACAATTAATCCTTAAATCAAAAAACGTGCAACAATACTCTCCACTTGCGTCAAATTCCCCGGCCAAAGAAATTTTGAATAATGATAAAAAAGAATCAAATGATAGAAAAGAATTAAATGATAAAAAAGAATTAAATGATAAAAAAGAATTAAATGATAAAAAAGAGACAAAAGATAAAAAAATGATGGATGGACTGCTTAATTGGCTTGCCACAAAAAAATGGACTGGTATTAAAAAGATATCGGAAGAAGAATATAAACAGATCAAACAAGCTAGAGCTGAAGCTAAAGCAATGCGATTAGAAGATTCATCAACAACATACGAAAATTCTAATAATCGATCGTAATCACTATAATTGATTAAATTTTTTTTTATTTGAGAGAATTATACTTATATTTGGCATTTTATAAACGTTAATAATTAATTTAATTTTTAAATTAAATTTGAAAAATTAATGCAAGGTGCATGTAGGGATGGCAAGTGATTTAAAACACTGGTTTATCTCGATTGGCAAAATTCCTACCGTATTTGCGCGTAATAACGCACATGGGCGTTATTTCGAAACTCTTATTTTTTTAAATTTTGTTTTTTTTGGCTCAAAATAACGCCCACGCGCGTCCCAAATAACGCGTCCCCTTAAATATACCGTATTACATTTTGATAGAATTTTTGGGCTAAGTTCATTAATAAAATTAGGGCTTCCTCTTGTAACCCAAATTTGTCAAAATACCGCGCATGCGCGTCGCACCTGCGCTTTATTACGTTATTACGCGCAAATACGGTATGACTATTTCAATCGTTTCTAACTTTTAACCAACAATAACCTTAAGTCTACAAAAAGATCACTTGTGTCGTTAAGCCGTCATATTATATTTGCTGCTTAACTACAACTATCGGCTGCCTTAGTAACCGCCCTTGCGTTACCACCTTAAAAATTTCGCTGGTATCAAATTTCAAGAACAGAGGGAAGGGAACGCAAAAAATCATAACATCTAAAAAAGTTTCATTGCTCGATGAGTTGGATAAAGAACTTGAAAAGACAAATGAGCAATCTTTATTGGGAATGTCATATGCCTTTTTGTCTAAGGATCATGAAAAATGAGTCCAAACGACTATAAATAGGGCGATAACATCGAGCAATATTAGCCATTGCTGAATTAACACCCATATCAGCAGATTTTTTATAATGGATGCAGAATCGAATGTTAGTGTAGCATTACAAATTATTGTTGAAAAATTTCTTCATATTTTTAACATTCATTGCATTGTGTATTATCTTGACCTTATTACTAAAGACATACAGGATATTAGATAATGGTGTAAGGCAATTAAAATCTTTTTGTCAAGTTTTTTTTTCTTGCAGTACTAATCTTTTTTTTGAAATTAATATCTGATAAGCTGGTTTAGGTGAAACTAAGAAATTTAGAATTTACTATAAAAGTTTATATAAACCTAGTTCTGTTTACAGGTTGAAATCAAAAATATCTTCCCTGTATCTTCAAATAATCAGCCTAGGTGATAGCAGGACAATATTGTGATGGCTATGAACCAATATGATAGGGTATTAAAATAAGCTGATATGTTAAAGATTATTGGAAAATATGATGCATATCAGCAAACTTATAGAAATTAACATTTGAATATTATTAAAATGATTTGTTTATCATATAGAAGATATAAGGTTGATATGAACAAGATTTTTTAATAATAATTTGATAATTAGATAAATTATTAGCTGATATAGTGAAAGCTAAGGTTATGCAAATTTAATTTATTGGTTCTCATAACATGAAATTTTTTAAATAGACCCAGCCAGATGGCTTTTTTTTAATTTTATATATAAAAATTTATAAAAATTTTTTTAGAAATTTTTTAAAAATTTGCCCAATTATTAAAATATATAAAAATTTTTTTATAAAAATTTTTAAAATTTGACCCAGCTGGGTTACAAGAACTAATTAATTAACTTTGTATGGCCTAATTTGTAAAAAAATTTTATCCATTTTATATGATATTGTACCAATATAAAGGATAAATATGTATGAATTTGGAATATAATTAACAAATTAAAATATCGGTTTAAATGATATAATAATGTTGTTTGATGATTACCATTTAGCACTGTATAAAGTATCCCCCTTAGATAATATCCTACCACATAAAGTACCCTCCTTCTCTACCAATGAAATTGCTGGATTCGTGAATAGTATCTGGTACTATTCAATTTTAAAAATGGTGTTCTTGAATAAGACCCTGAGTACTGTATACAGTGCTAAACAGTAATTAGCTGATATAATAATATTATTTAGCAATTATATTAATCATGATAGGGTTCCTAGGTTCAGTTCAGTTCAAGTTCATGTTTAATGAACCTGAACTGAATCCAAACCTGGACTACAAATTTTGCAGATCTTTAAACCTGAACCTGAACTGAACTTTGAATTTATGAACCTGAACTGAACCTGACTTAAAGCTCAGGTTCATTCAGGTTCAGTTCAAAGTTCATAAACATGTTCAAAGTTCATAAACATGTTCAAAGTTCATAAACATGTTCAGGTTCAGTAAAAACATAGTAAAAAGTGAAATATGTTTTTTGTCTTTAGAATTTTTGAATTTGAAGATTTTTAACCAAAATATTTTTTTACTAAGTAAACCTTTTTTCAACTTCTAATTAAAGTTACAGAGAAGTATCTTATAATCAAAATAGCGGTTAAAACATTAAAATCAGCCCAGTAAATCATAAGATATAAGTATTTTTGTCTTTGCGATTATATGTTTTCTTCTTTATATAAATAAAGAAGAAAACATATAGTTATAAAGACTAAAATGCTTATATCTCATGATCATCTGGGTTGGTTTTAACGTTTTAACCACTATTTTGATTGCAAGACAATATTTTACAACTTTAATTAGAAGCTAAAAAGAGATTTATTAAGTAAAAGTTTAAAAATCACAATATTTCTATAATTTTATTAATAAAGTTATACTTTTCCAATGATCATCTGGACCATATTTTCCAAAAAACTTTTTGACTAAAAAATAGTAACGTACTGCAAGAAAAATGTAAGACATGAGAAAAGGGTGTAAAAAGAACTGCACTTGTTATTTAGTGGTAGTTTTCATATACTATCTGCCAACAAGCTTAGAGTTTATCACTTATAGCAGCATAGCACTTGTTGTTTAGAGATAGTTCTCATACGCTATCTGCCAACAAGCCCAGAGTTTCACTCACTGAAAAAATTTAGTACTGTACAAACTTGTGAATCACCTGTTAATATCTTTAGAACTCACACTCATTTAAAGAAGTGCCAGTAGTCTTTCTTGTGTTTTTTGTTTTTTGCCGTTTTTACCAAAAATTTCGACAAAAAGTGGGCATTTTAGCTTACCCCTCCAAAAGATCAGCATTATTTACACCTACCTAATTCG